TCTCTCTCATCTCTCTCATCTCTCTCATCTCTCTCATCTCTCTCATCTCTCTCATCTCTCTCATCTCTCTCATCTCTTTCTCATCTCTCTCATCTCTCTCTCCTCTCTCTCTCTCTCTCCTCTCTGTCTCTCGTCTTTCCGTCTCTCTTCTCTCTCTTCTCTCGCAGGAGGATCCGGGCAAAGAGCCACATATAAAGGACTCTTCACCCCTGCCTCCAAAAAGAGCGCCGTGTTTTTTCCTACCTCGCTGCCCTCCACTTTCCCATTCTGGAGCGCTAGCTTTCGCCCCCCCCCTTGGCCTCAAGTTATATATAACATATACACTTGCAACCAGCTGATGCATTTGCTACCGGAATAAACATACTAAATATATCTATACACTTGCAACCAGCCGATGAAAAGGATGCAATCACGAAAGATATATAAAGACATAGACCGTTGAGAGGAGTCGTTTGTTTGCCTTTCATGTGATGCCAAGTATACGATAATGAGAAATATTGTCGGACACACATGACATGTGAATACCATATGTTTTTTTTTTTTCCATGTTTTCTTCCATTCCCACTGTCCCACTCCTCTCCCAGACACATCTTCGTTCCCAAGCGAAAATGCCACCCTCTAGCTCAAGCCCACTCCTCGCGATTCATGCACTGCTTTGCAGTGCAAAACACCTCAGCACCGGCAGTGCACGGGCCGTTTTGGTCATGATCGAAACGAAGAACCTTCGACCCGTTTGGTCTCCCCATTTCAGACCCGAACGCCGCCCGAACGCCGCGCCACTCACACCGGTTCGCTTCTCCTGCGCTCGGACCGGTGTCAGGGAGCACGGCGCAGCCGGCAGCTTCGGCGGAAGCCTTCGGACGGTGACCCTGGTGGCTCGGACGCGAGGATGGGATGAGGTGGATGCGGTGGATCTGTTTGGACAGGAGCGTTCCCTGCATGGTGGAGAGGTGGGTTCCAGTTGTGGCTGCAACACAGATATGATGGTCTCAGGACAGAATTCAATAGAATTACAGATGTTTCTTGTTCCAAAGGTTGTTTTTGGTTGTCAAATCAATGCTTTAAGGTTTTGGGAGCGGCGTTGCTTTTTGTTGCTTTTGCGGCAAACTAAACACTGGCTTGGGTTGCCCAATTTCAACCAGATCGGGGACAGTCCAATCATGTTGCATGACCTCATGGCCCCAGATTCGGTGACTGAACCGACTCATCCTGGTTTCGCTGGTCTTCACCAAGTCCCCACACTCCCGGCACTGAGATTTGATGGTCCGCGGCCGTTCCAACCACGGCCGTTCCATGCGGTCGTTCACCTTCGCTGCCAAGGACTGGGGTGAGGCATGCGGCGGGTGTCAACATACAAAGTGTGTCCATGCTCTCAGCGAGCGATGCAGTTTTCAAATTGGATCATTGTCAAACGCCAGCTTTAATAAATTCAGCTTTCATCAAGATGCTGTCCAAAAAGTGCGACCGCAAATGCATCTCCTCATCAACATGTTTCCCGAATGTGGATCGTCAATGCTTTTTCATAAAGATGCTTACCAAAAAGTCCGACCGTAAATGCATGGCCAAGACAGTGACCGTAAATACATCGTTCACCAAGACTGTAAATGCATCTTCACCAAAAATCACCAAGATGTTTTCCAAAAGTGTGACCGTAAATGCACTTTAGCAGCTTTTTTCCCAAAAGTGTGACCGTAAATGCACTTCAGCAAGGTTTGTGTCCAAAAAGTGTGACCGTAAATGCACTTTAGCAAGGCTTTTTTTTTCCACCAAGTGTGACCGTAAATGCACTTTATTCCAAAAAGTGTGACCGTAAATGCACTTTAGCAAGTTTCTTTTGTTTTCCGCATAGTGTGACCGCAAATGCACTTTAGCCAGATCTTTTTTCCAACAAGTGTGACCTAGACCCAGACCTAGACTCTAGACTCCAGACGCATTTTCATCAACATATGTTTTTTGAATTCACCGTGTAGACGATGTCAAAGTCTCCCCAAGAAAAGCAACATCCCTCGTAACCATCCGTTTGGCGGGGGTTTGGCTGCTGGCGCACGTAGTGCTACGCTGCTGCACATCACACCTCCCACCAGCACATCCCGAAAGTCTCCGTCTTCACACACGTGTGGGTCTCCAGTAGAACCGCCTTTGGGTCTCCAGTGGTTGGAGGTAGAATTCTTTGCAAAACAACATTGCAGTTATAGTTTGTTTTTTAATTGGTTTTTACACGAATTGTATCAATGTTATTGTTATAGAACCTGGGAGGCCTCCGGAGGCCATGCGTGCAGCAGTGGAATGCCACTTAAGGCCGCGCGGCGTCGGCCTTGCTTTGCTCGGCGTCGTCGGGCCAGGCTGGCTTTGCAGCTTCGGAGTTTGCTCACGAGGAGCCGCTCCGAGGTGGACAGCGCTCGGCTACAGCAAGCCATTTCCCCTCACATGGCATGGCTTAGTGGGGATTACAACCATCCACCTTCGAGGATGTTTGAGAGATATGATATGTACTATATTCTACCAGGTCATGTTTGCCGTAGTTCATTTGAATCAAACCTTGAGTGGATAAGCATAATATAGGCATTCAATGCATATCAAGTTATGAGGTCTCGATCCTTTGTGCACCATCCCTTGGGATTTCGATCCGCACCGCAGACCGAACGTCACTCGGTGGTGATGACATGAAGCAGCAATGAACGGAGTGACGACATCAGTGGAGGGAACACCATGAAGCAGCTGATCTCGAAGGCAGCATTCCTTTTGATCTCGGTCGGAAGGGCACCCTCCCGCTGGTTTCGAGCCAGCAACCTCTCTGGTTGATCCCACCGCTGTCAGTGGAATGACATGCATTTCTGGTGTAAATTCTATCCCACCCTTGTGTTCATGCACGTTTGGCACGTTGTTAGACATCATAATGGTGCGGGCACCTACCTGGGCAGACGGAAGATCATGGCGCCTCCATTTGGGCTCAGAAGTGTTCGGCACCAGGGCTTCCAGGACACAAGTACCTGGAGCGCACCTGGTGCTCAGGGCTGCACCGAAGTGAATGCTAAGGAAAACGCATAGAACTGACCCACACTTCGGAGGCCAACGAGCCACCCTTGACACGAAGCATCATGGAGTATATGGATCCGGAACTGACCCTCTTGAAACGAGCCCCCCGCCCTCCAATGGAGATGACTCTCCGGTCAAGTCACAAATCGGCACAGCCAGACCTCCCAGGGGAACAAAGAACCATGTTGTCTAGCAAAAAAGGACGCTACGGGGGCTCCTGGCATCAACGAACGGATGCGACGCTACACTGCGAGACTATCGGTCTACCGCCACAGTGTGATGTCGCCATCGGTCTCGATAAGGGGATAGACTCACGGCGTGTGTATGTGGAGACGTCCAGACCCAACGCTAGACTCAGTCGATGTCCCGAAGCGATGTCACAAAGAGTGGGAAACCCATGGGTTTCGGTCGCATGTTTGGAGCGACACACCCAATTGATGTGAGACATGGGGCCACTTTTGGGGTCCGATACAAAAACAAAGCACGGCAAATGAAGCAGTGGGCAATGGGCTTTGGATGTGGGATGATGATGGATGATGTGGGGTAATTACTTATCTTGCAAATGAATGTGCATAAAAAAACGAAACTGCAATGCTCTGGGCAGATCTGGGCAGTGTGTTTTGAAACTGCAATGCTCTGATCGCCTTTGACCTCTGGCTTGCGATGGAGAAGTGCCTGGGCCTGTCTTGTTGAAACCCTAAGAATCCGGGCCCTCAAATCATGCGTTTGGGATCCGGACTCCCGGACCCCTGCGTTTCGGTGGAGAAGGCCCGACCCCGACCCCCATTGGATTCTTAGGGGAATTTTAGATTGACTTCTTTGGAACCTGAGCCGATCCCTCGCACGGCACGGCAGATGCTTCCATCTCCTGATCCTTCGCTGATCCGTCCGATCCCTTTCTCGGGCATCGTGGATGAATCACGATGAAGATCTTTTGCGAGGTATGAGGGCGTGATGCGGATGTTGCATGGAGACCTTCATGATCCCAGTGCCCTGGCGATGGTATCAGTCCATGCTGGGAATCTGATCTCACCCCATGCTCAATAGAGTGAATCAGTTCTAAACCTCATCACAAACCTTTTTTGGAGTGTCCAGTTCACAGTGACCGGATGATGAATACCCTGGCAATACCCTGGCTCAGCAAGAATAGACGTTCTAACCATTCAGATGGAGATGGAAAGGTCGTGAAAGGACCCTTTCAGTGCACTTTGGTTAAATTCGATGGTTGCAGAGAAATGCAGAGAAGACGCGTTGCGTTCTTATGTGATCATTTTCACTCTGGGCCAACATCTATTTATTGAAGAGAATCATGTTGTTTGATCAAGCATCTCTTGGGTCAACGGGGGGTTGCAGTGAAGGCAACCGTCTCGACGACCCAAAATGGTCGGGGGTGGCTGGGGACAGTTATATATAAAGTATTATAAAATGTTATATGCATGGTAATTATATATATATAGTTATATACGTTCTTGTTTCAACTCTCGTTGCTCGACGCCCTTTCCTTTGTAGATGGAGCAAGTTCAGTATGCGGAAGCTGGGCGTTGCGATGCGAAGTTTCAAAGAGAGGAGGACGCAGCATTGTAGTTCAGCCAACATCCGGGCGCTAGGACTCAATGCTTGACGCGGTGAAACGACTGACCAGAAAAGGTGTGCATGTTGCTTGAGAGGCTAATTTGAGTTTCTTAAAAGCTCAACTCCAATCTGATCGTCTTGGAGTTCATGAGTTGCAAGAGGATGACTTGACTAGCCCGAAACGCAGAAACACTGTAAAGCGCCCGGTTTTCGAGCCCTTGGCATGTTACGGGCACCTCCCCGTTGACCCAACATGTTGAGACTTGCTTCTATCCCCAAAACATCGCCTCCTTTCCAAGCCAACAACGTTGTTCTCGTCTTCCGGTGCAGATCACGACTTCCGGACCTCGGAGTAGGCACCTCCTCGGAGTCCGAGTCCATCGATCCCAACCAACCGGACATCTTGATGGACCAGACCAGCCTCGCGGCGGCCGCGAACCGGGAGGAGGGAGTCGGGCGCGTGTTGGTTTGGATGCGGGCGGGGTTCCTCGTGGCGAGCTCCAAGCGTTCTGCGGTTCGATCGGATGGAGTCGGATGGTTCGATCGGATGGGTAGGCAGGACGTGAGCAGAACAACCGAAGGCCTGCGGCTGCTGTAAGCGCTGCGAACGGGCCAGGATCCAGGGATATGGAATGCTGGGTTGAAAGTGAAATTCAACTGAAAAGCAGGCAGACTGTCCAGAACAGCATGAGCTGCCACAAGCATAGAAGCCAGGGGTGTGGTGCATAGAAGTGAGGTTATGCCCGGTATAGGCGGTGGCATTGGGTGGCGCCTTGGGTGGGTTGGTGGCGCCTTGGATGTGGGTTACTTTGAGATGTCGAAAGTTGAAAGAAGATGTATAAATGCAACTGATTGATCAAGCAGTCTCCCACAAAGTTCCTGAACGCAGTGCCCAATGGCCAGTCCATCTCTTGTTTCGGAGAAACGTGTGAGGCACACTCAGGACGAAGAAGACTCATAGGTGTTCCGCAATGATTGCCAAGTTTGGGCAGCAGGTGGGGGCTTTCAATCTTGGAGTGAGTCAGCCTTTTTTGTCTCGCTTTTGCTTATTTCACATTGGGCCCCGGGTGATTCAGGAGGATAGCTTAAGACAGTGGGGCCACCAGCATTTAAAGGTACTGTAGATGCAAAACTGATACCACCCACTTGGGCATAAAGCTTTCATTCCAAAATAACTATTGCAAATTAAACTGAGTTCTGCGGGGCCACTCAGTTGACGGGAAGCTTCAGTTCTTACTTTCAGAGATTTGTTCAGTATTTTGTTGCGTTTGAGACCATCTGAGGTCAAGATTGTTTCGACAAGGAAGTCTTCAGGGATCAGCTGTTGCTTCACCTCACTTCCCCTTTCTGCACCCCGGCTGCAGCAAACATGCGGGGCACATATGGGGTTTGATTTCATTTGTAGCAATTTGTAACTCCGAGTTATCTTCGTCGTTGAACTTTGACCAATCGTCGGTTCTTGTATTCCTGCCAATTGTCCATTTGTGCCCACCAGATCTGGGGCCTTTTTTTGCACAGACGACTTACCTACTGGGCCACGATGGCAACTAGGGAAACGACGCCACCACTTGCATTGCGCCTGGTCGTTTCGGAGGGTACGCAGTCGTCCGATGGATGGCAACTACTTAGTTCTTCTACTACGATGGAGCATGACCAACAACCCCAAACACTCCATGTATGTCATATATGCTTACATTGGGGTGGTTGAAAGGGGGTCAATGGGGCGGCATATATGGCAGTCCCAGACAGGTCGTGTCTGGGAACCGTTCGTTTCATCCGAATTTGGGCTCCAAAGGACCCCACATCCGAGACAACCCTCGACCCGGCCCCGTCGACCGCGGTCCGTCCCGCGCGCCGTCCGTCCCGGTCCGTCCCGTGTTGGGAAACCGGGTGAACGGTGAGTTCAATGAGTGAGAGAATCTTCTGAATGGAGGTGCTGTACGTTTTGGACCCTGACCGAAAACATGATCAACATTGATCAACATGACGCCACCTGGAAATAACGACCGAACTTAGAAAATAAGGGTGGGAAGCATCGCATTTCCATTCATGTGCGTCACAAGTTTGGGAAAATGGGGGGGGAGGGTGGGAAAACATCATGCACATGGTCTCAAGAGGCAAAGGTGCCACTGTGATAAGAAAAAGCCCTTGGTGGCGTAAATATGCCACTTGCCACAGTGATAGTTATTTCTGCCACTAGGCCGTCCCAGGTCCTTTGCGGGACCCGGTTTTGAACCGTGGGCAGGGGGGTGGGGCGACATCTTCGCTCCCCGGGTCCCCAAAGTAGGCAGAACAGAGCACGGCAAATGGATTGGCGTGTTTCTGTGAAAGCGAGGGAACCCAAAACACAAGCCCCTAGACAACGGCAGACTTATTTGTAAAAACTAGAGACAGTCTTGGAAACTGGCCTGCGAGGTTCCCTCGGGGACAGATGGGGCCTGGACAGGGGGACATAGACGGGGATTCTTCGCTAGGGGAAACACACGATAACGCACAGACTGCGAAGCGGGTGCTACCGTGACATGTGAGCAACCTATAGTGGTTTCAAAACAACTGTGGTGTCCAGAGGAACGGATGTGTCACAAAACAGCCATGACACACATAGAGCCACCCCAAACAGCTGCCGCCTGCCCTCCAAGACCGGATCCACGGAGTCCGCAGCCCACAGCTTTCCCTGCACCAACTGGTCCTCCAAGGTTCGACCGTTGGTCCCGTCCCTTCCCGCGAGCTGCCCCTGGACCATCAGCAACCATCACAACCACACTTCTCCAGCCAAAAGTGCTGCCGGTAACTCCCAACTCACGCTCCGCCCGCGCTAAACCCGATCCTCGCACCCCGGCGCTCGCATCCCCTAGCTTCACTCCACACTCCACTACACATCCCTTGCGCGCCTCGTCCAGCTCCGGCAGCCGTCGGCTTCCGCCAGCCTGCCAAAACACTGCGCGCCGGCGTTCTCCGCCCACGACAACTACACCGAGCAGTTTTCCGTGGCCTGCATAAGGGGACATATAGGGCAACGCCCTCGCTGGCTGACGCGACCTAGCGAACACCATGGGCAGCGCCCTTCTCCCCCAGGAAACGCATAACACAGACACCGGCTGCCTCTCACCCGACGACTTGGGTGACGGGGGCTCTTCTCGGCTCCTGCATTTTGCTCAAGGGGCGCTCCAGGAAACCCTACCCTCCCCACATCCAGGGCAACGTCCGGCCTACCGCACTGCAGACATTCCGCCACGCGCGCGTGCCGCCCGCATGTACATGGCTACGGTCTCTTCCCTCGCTGGCGCGAGAACCTCGCCAGCACCTGCCCGAGCTTCCGTTTGCGCTGCTCCGTCCTAGAACCAACACGCCACATGGCGCGGACACGGGCGCCTGACAGGCATGCGAAAATCTTACCAGAGCCTTTCACGTTACCACGGGCACTGGCCGGACCTCGTCCAGCGCAAAATCTAAACAAAGCCTAGAGCATTCCTAGGAAAATTCCAGGGCATTGGCCGGGAACACAAGAATCAAATAGGTTAACAATAGGTTAATCAATTTTTGGGGAAATCTGGGAACCTAAACACAAGAGGAAGTGCTAGAAAATTCTACACCAATGGAAGAAAATAGGTTCGCAGTTCGCAATTTTCTACGCAGACCAGGGAAATCCTACAACTCCCTTTTACAACAAAACCCGGGTCCGGAGGGGTAGGGGAGGTAAGGTCTAAGTCTAAGGCTAAGGCTAAGTCTAAGGCTAGGCTAAGGCTAAGGCTAAGGCTTAAGGCTAAGGCTAACATCGACAGTCACGCCTCACCCCACCTCTCTGGCTAGAGCAAGGCTAGCGCTAAGGTTCTATCCCTTGGGGGTCGGCGGCTGCAGGCGGTAGCCTGGTAAATTTAGCTCTTGCGAGCACGGATCGAAGTGTGTGCAGGTGCAGCCATCACAGTGAAGGCCTCAGTCTTCCAACGTGCGCGTACAAGGAAGGCGTTTTCTGCGTGCACAAGCGAGTGCTATGCCGCCTGGTGCTGGACGATAACCAGCGACCGCTCGCGAAATCAATGAAGTTGTGGGGCAATACAGAGAAAAAAGAAAGGTCAAAAGGGCAATACCTTCCACGACCCACAAACACGGAGCAACTCCAAGCACAACGGAGGAACTCCTAGAGCTGCAAGTCCTTGTCAGTCCTTGTTCAGGTAGATGAGAATCTTGTTGATGTAACGCGCACGGGTGGCAGGTCTTCCTTGCTCACACTTCTGCGCCGACTATAAGCCGCCTGAAACTCCTCAGCCTCATCAGCCTGGCGAAAGGGTGCAGTGTCTAATTATGTTGGTTACCCAAACCTGTCCAAAAGTGTGGCGTTTGGAAAGACCAATCATGGCGGATGCTATTGCTTGCTTGATTGACTTATTGTTGCCACGTGTTGCTTCAGTTTCGGGCCTTGATTTGGGCTCTGGCTCAGTGTCGCAACATGTTTTGAGATTTAGACAAATCACGTTCGCCGAGAGCTTGTGAGGTTCCTCATGCTTCTGCGCAACTTTGTCCAAATTCATCGTTGTTCCGTTCCCAAGCATGATCAAGCCATGTTCTTCAGACATTGTGATAGACAGTCACCCACATCCTTCACGAACGCCTTGCTTATGAATCATACAGTAAGTCTTTGATCTCCTTACGTTGACATGAAAATATGTGTATATATATATATAGAGAGAGATGCTTGTGCCTTTGAAGAAACACAATGCATGGTTCTTTCCAGCGCATTATGTGTTGCTTGCAGCTTTATGATAAGAAAGTAAGTGCAAACAAGCAAACAAATACTCTTGATAGAAATATAGAAGCATGGCGTGCAAGTACTTGCATGTTGCCTTTGCCAGAAGTCGGAGCCTCTTTCCCTCACTCCGCTAATACAGCAAGAAGCCAAAACAGTTACGATCTTGCCTGCAGCAAGGAGTTGCGATTCCACATCACAGCAGATCCGGTCGCATTCTCCACTTTCAACATCCTCAGTGAAACAGAGAGAACATTGCAGCATCCTTGGACCTCTTCAAATTTGTTCAAGTCAACTCAGTTTGTGCACCGGAAAAGAGCTTCTCACAAAGCGGCGCATAGTTCGCAAACTTTTCCAGCTTGGTGAGATACTGGTAGTTGGTGACAATGGGCTTTTGCAGCGGAGCCAAGATGTAGCTTCTTGCTCCTAGTAGTACGGCCAGGAGCCAGCGATGCCAGGAGCCCCCAAATAGCTTCTTGTTACTAGTAGCTACTTGCTCCTGGACTCCTAGTTCTTCGTTTCTGTGCTGATATCTTTGAGCCATTGCTCGCCGCCTTTCTCCTGGAGCACTTCCTGCATCGACTTGAACGACAAGTTTCAACAAGCATTGCTTAATCAATAAATAATGTCATTCTGCTTGAACTTGGCTAATGTACATCGCATTAGCATTTTAATATCAATCCTTACAGTTTCATGCGCACATTTGACGTTGTTCAGGACTACACTGACACGACTGACTACAATCCTCGAAAAGGTGCTTGCTGATGCTCTGCTCTTTCCGCACACCCTTCAATTGCAATGCGTTGAGTACGCACTGATCATCATCTCTGCATTGGTCATCTTGACCCAAGGCAGACTCGAAATGCGAAGACCGAAGCTTCTCGCCAAGCGGCCAAAGCGGCCCAGGCTGTAAGCGCTACAGTGCTACAATTGCCTAACGCAACATTTTTCCGACCATTATGTATATAAAAGAAACATATCGTGCCAAAATCACTGCGGTACAAAGCCAGAACCTGGCTTCTAGGCCCAAGCACCCAGTTTGAGTGCTTTTGCATGTACTGTAAAATCTGTGCCTCAATCCGAACAAAGACCCATGTGCCCCATGTGCCCCATGGGTCATTCTGGCAACAGATTTGAACACTTCCTTTTTCAGAACCTGCACTGTGCCGTCCCTTGAGGATCCACAAGATTGTAGATGGCATCTTTTTGACAACCACCTCATTGTACACATCGCGTTACCACGCTCTTGTGAACAACTCACATAAAAAGAAGAGAAGCTTTAAAAGCTTTCGAAGCCTTTGCCTGCTTGGCCAATGGCTGGCTACCTGTCAAAAGCCCTTGTTGTTCATGCGTACTATCACACGCAGCACCCATGTATGCCATGGTGAAGGCTTCAGCACTGCTGCACCACATTTTTGTGACGCGCAGGCTGTCTGTTATTCAGAATCAGACGATTCTGTCTAAAAAGAACACAACTATGCACGCTGATCTAATCCTGCTCGGCATCATCATTGCGAAGCCAACAAAACCAATGTCGCGAAAAACAATTGACTATTACCGTATAATATTGTCAAACCATTATCAGGTTATATTATCCTAAGCTGA